GTAATCACTGGGCCATTATTCTAGAATGTGCTTATAAGTCTACAGGAATTTGTAGCAGCAGGACTCCAGCAAATAGGAACTTTAATGGAATAGCATGAGTTATGAGGCTGGATCAAACAGAAAGGCACAAGTAGAAATAATCTTGTGTTCATACTAAGGTCAGTGAATTTTAGTGACTAAGGTCAGTGGCCATCCCCTGTAACTCTGTTCATTGCTTTTTGGTCTACTTGCTTGACTATGTACTTTTGTGATGATCATAAAACTTAAGGAGTTTACTGCTCAGGAAAATATAGCTTCTTGTGCAGTCTTATGGGTCAAACTATGCAGAAAAAGAAAGTGGAAAACTGTTTCTATGGTCCCATTGTCTCAAGTTCCATTCTGTGGCTAAGAGCTTGTGTTATGAGCAGTTTTCCCACCAGCCTGGTCCCAAATAACACACAGAAACACTGTATTAGATATAAAGCTGTTGGCTTGTTACTAGTGATTTTTATTGAATAGCTCTGTCTTAAATATTAACCCACTTTTATTGATCTAAATGTTTCCATGTGGTTTTATCTTACCAGAGAGAGGGTCTGGACCTCTTCTTTCAGGTCCCTATATCTTGACTCTCATCTCCTACATCTCCCAGAATCTTCCTTGTCTCCTAGTCCTGCCTATCTTGCTTTCCTATTGGCCAACAGGGCTTTATTCATTAACTAATTACAGAATGACATTCTCACAGACTCTACACTCCTTGTCTTATCTCTCTGCTTTAAGACCAAGAATGAGGTTTTTAAATCAGTTAAAATTCATAACTGTGAGTAAATAGGTCTACAATCTCAATGACTTAGAAGTTGAGGCAGGAAGATCATAAATTCAAGACCTTCCAAGGCTATAAAATGAGGTGAAGCTATCATGGGCAACTTGGTGAGACTGTATCTAAAAATACAAAAGTAAGTAAGAGGGATACATCTCTGTGGTAGATTGCTAAGGCATGTGTGTGGCCCAGGGTTCAGTACCTGATCCATAAAATAAATACCTTTTAAATTGCTGTTTGGGAGCTTGTTGGTTCTTTTCCTCCTAATTACAACAGAAGTTCTTGGAATGATGTAGGAAGAGAAAGGCATGGTCTGATGAGGGTGAATTTGTATAATAAGACACAAGGAACTCTGTTTAGATGACTCTTGTATGCAGGCTTAAGTAATACTTTATCTTCATCTCTGTGCCAGGCTTGATTTGTTCAGAAACTGATCACACACTTGTTTTTCTAGCATATTGTCTATCAGCCACATATTACAAAGGCTTACAGTACTTGAGTTCATGTTTATCTTTCCTGTAGATTTATTTCTACTGTAATCTCCCTGAGATTGAAAGGAAGGGTTGACATCACTTGATGCTATTGTAGTTACAACATTAAGATAGTTTCTTTTCATATGGAGTTATTAAATTATTGTAAGCAACCCATATTGTAGATGAATTCTGTTGGTGAGTTTTTCTTTAACTATTTTAATTGCTAAAGAGTTTAGAATTTAGCTATGAAAATCTCTCTAGTTCATCATTGTAGTCACCCAAAGACAACGGCTGGGACTGATTCTACATGGCTTCTAGGACACTCACTGGAAATGGCTGTTGCAAATGGCTCACATGCAATTTAAAAGATGAATATGTATATCCCTAGAAGAGAGTAATGTTCTTAGCCCTCTAATATTTTCTAATAAGGTGAGCAGTAGAAAATGTATTTTCACTCTCTGTGGGCATCAAAGTTGAGACTGTGTGTTTTCCACAAGGAAGAAAGGAAGGCAGTGCATAGGGTTTAGATCTTTAAATCTAGGTGAGCCACCAAACACACATGTTGCTTGCTGTTGCCTCAGGCACTCAAGATCTTTTCACTATAGTTGCACCCAGTCTTCCTTTTTAATCATCATGATATACAAAACCAACACTCTGATAAATCAGTACTTTACATGGGCATAGGCACATCCCTTTCATTTCTGACTACTGTTTCTTTGTTATCTCAAACCCCCAGGTTGACTGTGACACTGTTTCACTGTGGACTTTTTAAGTTATTTCCTAGGACAGAGCTAATCAGGTAGAACTTTGAACAGATCTTACTTTTAGTGACTTCTATAAAACACCAGATGTTAATACACTTCATGATTTACAGGAACTTAAAAATAAAAAATCAGAAAAAGAATCATGTTCTTTTTTAAATTAAATTTATAAATAAAAAGTAACAAGGGTTTCTATCTAAATAAAATGTAACCATGGTTGAGTTTCAAATGACCTTTTATCCCAATACAGCTATTTTATTCTTTTTTTACAGAAATTTGACCCATATATCATGTTTTAAGAGAAATAGTTCTATGTTAGCCTAGCCTCCTTCTGCCCCACAAATAACATTAGAAAGAGTAAGTCCCCTTTCAAGATAAACTGTTTCATATCAGAATAAATAAGTATTCAATATCAGAATAAATAAGTATTCATACATGTATGTGTTTATGTTAATAACACACTACTGTAGTAAATACAGCAAAGGATATCATCTTTAAGCATAGAAAAGTGCTTTTTAATTCTCACAGTTAAACACCTTATTAACTATGTTTTAGATGGAGGGATATAATCTTAGTTTTTTAGTTCCTTAGTGATTTTTCTGATGTTTACAACATCAAAATAGTAACTTTGGAGCTGGGCTTCATAAGAGATCAGATTTCCTTACTTAAAGCATTATCAGCATTTACAATAAAGTCACAGTCAAAATAAAGTGACTTGGAGGATGTCCCAAGAACAATTGTAAAACATAAGCCTGTATCATTGGTCCAAGCAAGATTTTAAAATAGATGCCATTATTGTCTCCATTTGTGGATGAGAAAACAGGTATGGGATTAGAAGTGGAAGTCTTTGTCCATTCAGGCTGTTACAACAAAATACTCTAAAGCAACACAGACATTGCTCACAGTACCAGAAGCTGAAGATTCAGGACTGAGATGTCAGTGAAATTCCATGGCTTGTGGGGATCCATTTCCTGGCTCTTCTCATGCTCTCACATGGAGGCCCAGAATTTCACTTGTATTTGTTCTGTAAAACTATCATGGGCAAAAAGTGTGTGCCTGTTACAAACTGCCTTTTGCTTTTTTCTTTGTGGGGAAGGAGCTAAGTATAGCCTGGTAGGAGTTAACTTTCCTTAAATGTGGGAAGTTTTTACTGCCAGCTGCTAAAAGCTAAGCTGGGAGTCCTTTTCCAACCAAGAGAAAATATCTTGCTTCTCATGTCTGCCATGTTGTCAACCAAAGACCATACAAGGTATAAAAAAAGCTTATTGATGATGAACTATTGGGCTACTAATCTTTACTACTGATTATAGAATTATTAATCATTTCTTAAACATATCACTTTTTGCCTAAAATGTGGCAGCTTTGGGCTCAATTTTTGTGTTCCCCAGCCATGAAAAGTACCGCACATTAAATTCTATAATTGCAAGGATATAGACTTGGAGGATGATTAGATTTTAAGGGAGGAGGTTTGACAAATGGGTTTAAGGACTTTATGAAAGAGGCCCCCAGGAACATCTTCACCTCTTCTCCCATGCCAGGACAAGAGAACGTACCATTTGTGGACTAGAAGAAAGCCCTTTCAAAACAAGAAAAAAAAATACAAAAAAACAAAAACCTACAGTCAGGCTTTCAACCACATGGGAAACACATTTCTCCTGTTAATAAGCACTCAGTCTGTGTGTTCTCACTTGAGCAACAGTTTGAGACAACAGTTGTGAGTGATGATTTCTCATACAGCCCTTAATAAAACTCAGCTACATCAGGCAGCAAGTCAAGGATACAGCTGTGACACATTATTTCCCAAATACTATAATTTCTCAAAAAATAAACAAAAAACTCCACCTCATCCCTTCCAGAGTAAAAAATATAATGAAATAAGCAGGCCAATCACTTTTATATTAGAACATAGAAAATGAGTGATGTAACAACTCACCAGTCAATAACCTATATTCTCATTTAAAAATGTCAACTCTCTTATAGCTATAGAAGTCTCACAATTATTAGAAACACTTGACGTTAGGTCAAGATTTAAAAAAAAAAAAAACTAAAGGAACAAAGAAAAATTACATGTACTCTCTGTAATAGTAGTATATTAGTAAAATGTGTGGAATCAAGATACATGGAATATATATAATATATATACATATATATGTATGTGTATGTATATACATACATACATACATACATACATACATACATACATACATACATATTCCTGTTTGGGAAAACCCAAATGGGGGATAGCAAAAAGATGTTGACATTTTGAAAGAGGAGTAAGTAGACTTTATCTCAAGACACACGATGGCTTCTTTTTCTCCATTAACTATACATGGGAAGGACTAGACTAAAGTTTGAGTTTCTGCCAATCACATCCTCTGAAGTGCATGCTATGTAGTTCAATCCACCTGAACACGTCTTGATATTTGTAAATGTAGCATCTACTTGACAGAATGCATTCACATTGTTGTCCTGCAGAATATCTGACTCAGATTCTTGTCAGGAGGTATATTCTGGGGTGGGAACCTAGGTGTTGCCTCATAGCTCAGCCTTCGTGGAACGTTTATGGACATGTTTATGATTTGCTAATGTGTGCTGTGACCCCATCAGTCTGTTTGCAGTGGGGGAGGACTCTGGGAGGAGAGGGAATGTTTGGGGAGGGCAAGGCATTTGTTTGATGTGTTCATGGTGGGAGGATGAGGGAGGGAAAAGGGTTCATCACGATTTTTGAATTCAGGTTAACTTAAGGGGTTCAGTTTGGGGGCCTAGGAGGGCATAGTTCAGTGCTAGAGCACATGCCTATTAGAATATGTGAGGTCTAGGGTTTGATTCCCAGGACCACACACAAGAAATAAGGGTCCAATTTTGACCCTCACACACAAAATTCTACTATAGTAACTCGATTCTACTATGGTGCAGCTTTTCACTGGTCATGAGTTATTTTCTTTCTTCATTTGATGTTTTTTTCCTCAGGGGAAATCTCTCACATCCAAGAGGTTAACAAGCCTTGTTCAGTCTTACTAAAAGGATCACCTTTGTGACATGGACGCTGAATGCAGCCATCACCCATACCTTGTAGCCCATTGCTGTTACCTGGAGCTGAGGACGTTAGACCAAGATGTTGCATGAAGGACCTGAATTGTTCTTTTCTGTGTGCACATTAAGGCATCGCCATCACCATCGCCAAGGGACTCTTTGCCATCACATTGCCTCCATCTCCACCTGTCGTCTGCTTCCCTTCCTCCTCTTACTAAGCTGGGTTTGTGTCTTTTCCTTTTTAACCAGTTCAAGTGAAGTAAAACTTTATTTTTCCCCCTTCCTCTTTTTCTTAAAGCTTCTGCTAGATACACAGTTCACAAAAACTTCAGTCAGTCACAAACTGGAAGAATTGTAAAAGAAAAAAAGTATATTATCAATAAGTATACACATGGCTTCACATTTATTAAATAACAAATTAGCACAGGAGTTGTCATTTCACCCTTGTATCCACAGTCTGAAACAAATGCCCATCTTCGTCTGTTCTCTGGACATTGTTCATGTTTCCTGCATTTATTTTTATACCATATTTAAATGAGAAAACACCTTTTACTCCAAATGTATCAAAGTTGACCTCTTCTCTGTAAATTTGTGTATGTTTATATTGTTGTTTTATCTTTCATTAAAAGATTCAGAATCTCATTGCTTTGGGAACTTTTGTTGTTAGTGCGACCTGTAAATGAGAGCGAAGAGAAAGCAGTCAAAGCCTGGGAGCTGAGACTTAAGCTGCCCTCCTCCAGTTTATCTCAGTTTTGGATGGGATGGAGCCCCGACCATCACACTGCAAGCATCTCCCTGGTGGGCTGATCTGGGACCAGGGTGATGGTTTATCTTCTATGGAAAAACATCACATTTCTGGCATGTGATGAAATCTATGCTTGGTTAAATGTCAATGAGTATTTTAGTTAGAATGAGGCTTGGGAAATGATCTTTTTTTTTTTTTTCTTTAAATTATACTTCTGAGTTTACCCAAGGTCAATATTTCTCATCTTTGCAGTAGCTACAAATTCCTTTTAAGTATCAGGTGGCATTATTAGCATCCAGTGAAAGCTGACTGTTTGTCACTGTCTTATGGGCTCTATTATTCTCATTGCTGTGATAAAATTCCTAACAAAAGCACCCTTGAGAGGAGAGCTTACAGTTTATCCTGTCAGGGAAGTCATAGCAGAAGGAGCAGGAGATGGATGGGACTGGTCACCTTTATGTCCATTATCAGGAATCAAAGGGTGGGCAGGACGTGGGATGGGGCTATCAAATGTCAAGTTCCACCCCCCCCCCCCAATGATTCACTTCCTCTTTCAAGAATCCACATTCTAACGGTTCCACAACACTTCAAAACAGCACTCCACAGATGGGCAGCAAGTGCTCAAAGACAAGATTCTATGGGAGATATCTCATGTTCAATTTGTTGAAAATAAAAAGAGAAAACCAACGTTTTGCTTGAAGTCACACAAGATAAATTGAGATTAGAAGAGAGGAACCTCCTTTTGCTCTACTTGTTGAATCTCTTATCCCAGACAGATTAACAAGAGGGATACAAACATTTCCTTAATAGAAGCTTTTGGGATGGGCAATTTCATATGTAAATGTGGACTTGAACAAAATCAACACCTGGCTATTTCCTCATTTGAACTGACAAAGTGTGGAGGGCTGTGAAAAAGATTGATAGGGCCAAAGGGCATGAGTCAAAGAACTAAACGGATGAGAATCAGCAGGTCCTGAACTGTTTGCCTCCTTTGCATAGGGAGGCCACAACTCACATGAAGGTCTTAGGGTTCAATTCTTGGAAACTTCTGAGAGTCCTTCCCAAACCTGCCATTTCTTAAATCCCCTCAGCTTAAAATACACATCAGGGCAAAATCGGCTTAGTAGACACAAGCCTAATAACCTGTGTTCAATCACACAACCCACATGGTGGGAGGAGAAAAGAGACTCCCATGAGTTGTTGTCTGACCTCCATATACATGCCGTGCCCTACCCCACAGACATAGAAAATAAATGAATATAAACCTCATTAAAATAGTTAATATGGCCTAGAGAGATGCCTCAGTGGTTATTAGCTCTTGTTGCTTTTCCAGAGGACCCGGGTTCAATAACCAGTCCCCACATGCTGATTCACAAGCATTCATAACTCCAGTTCCAGGGGAACTGATGCCCTCTTATGACCTCGGAGGGCTCCAAGCACACACATGGTGCATAAACATTAATGCAGGCAAAACAATCACACATAAAATAAAGTTTATAACTTTAATTTCAACAATATTCAACATGCAGGATATGATTTTTTGGCACAGTGTTACATATTGCCATTAGCATATAAATCTGTGCAATCTGACTTTAAGATCCACCTGTCCATTACTCTTCCCTCTTTATGATAAAAAGCCATGGGGAAATCCATATCTCAAAGGAAAAAAATTTTTTTTACTGATTCTTAGAACATTTTTATTCCAGTCTTTGTAGCTTACCCATGAACTCAGGTAAGAAACTTGATACATTTCAAGCATGAGATGGTGCCAAAGTTTTAGGCTGTCTTCTTTACTTTTATCTATGCCAAGGTATAACATAGCTCAACTACTAAAATATATCAAGTTATTTGTGTCCTGTAATTTCAATTTCAATATGGAGGAAGATTTCCAGTATCAGCAGTGGTGTCTGCTAGCTGGTTAGTGCCACCACAAAATGGAAAAGAATTGTTAGGAAACATGGGTAGATAGGCTAGAATATAAACAATGTAATCAGTTGAAGAAAAATTGATTATACGCTTGTTTGGTTTTGGAAAAAAAAATAGAAAATTCACTGGGCGGTGGTGGCAAATGCCTTTAATCCTAGCACTCAGGAGGCAGAGTTTCATGTCCAGCCTGGTCTACAGAACAAATTCTATAACAAACAAGACAACACAGAGAAATCCTGTATCAAAAAATACATATATTTCAAATTAAGTTAACAGACTTTCTCTCTTAAAAATATTATTATTCAGAAAAGTCTTGGTTATCCCACGTGGAAACTAAAATGGCACTCTAGTTAATAAGCTGTTATTAGAAGAAGGTAGCGTGTGAAATGTGTGCTTTCATGGATATGATGGGTTATTTCAATGCCAATCTTTCACCGTGTTATTCACCTTTGTTATTTGTGGTTCTAAATCATGGGTTCCTGCAGAAAAGAAAGGCTAAGAATGAACCCCCCCCACAAAAAAAAATCAGAGAATGGGAGGAGGGGAATGCTTCAGGAACTAATGAAATGATTTTACCACACAGGTAGTCTGATTCTGATCCAAGGAGCCAAGTACAAAAATAAAAGACCCCTGACTGTACATACTTGTCCTGTGTTCTCTGAACATGCTCTGTGACAATTAGGTTTCTATGTGATGCACATACAGATGAAAGAGAAGGGTTAGGAGAGGGAAGGGGCAATGCATTTTAAAAGTTTTAAAGTACTTGAAGACAGCAGGTTTTTCTGGGCATATGTAAAGGCTTTCACTAGCTTTCCAGAAACACAAACGAAAGCTTTGGAGTTCTTTGTCTTTTAGCCCTTAACAATACTAGGACCAGTTGAACTATCTATAAGGCAGAGAATAAAAACTTCTTAAAGCTTTCAGGAGATAAAGTGGCTATTGAAAACATTTTTTTTTAATTTATTTATTTTTTATTTTATATGTCAATCCCAGTTCCCTGTCTCTCCTTCCCTCCCTCTTACCCTCTCTGCCCCCTCACATGAACCCTGACCACCCTCCCTTCCCATCCCCCACCCCAATTCCACATGTAGGGAAATGCCATCCAGGTGGAGTCATGTAAATCTGTCAAATCATTTGAAGTAAGGACTTTCTCTCCTGTCTCTAGGTTAAGGCAGAAAACTACTTTCACACTATCCCTACAGATCCTCCCAGCTCACAGTTGGTGCCCCCCACCATCCCAGTGACTCAGAGTTTCTATGTTCACATTATAAAAGCATCTAGTCCTCCTTGACCCAATTCTTTCTTTGCAATATTACAGTAATGTTTTCAGCAGATCTGGGGGGAAAAAAACCCCTACTGATTCTGAATAACAAAAATGTGACTGTAAACTTACCTAAGTTGTCTGCTGGCAGGAGTCAGTATAAGAAATGAAGGCAGGATGCTTCCCTGTCTTTATGGCAAATGCCACCCTTAATCTTGGTGTTTGGGACATGCTGGCATATTGACCCTTATAGCTGAGTGCAATTTCTTATTATGTAACAAGTTAGAAATAATTTGAGCATTTACTTGAGGGAAAGATTTGAGTACTATGAATTCATTCAGTTCATTTCAGTGAAAGTATCTATTGTGTCTACACACAAGTACATATTTGAGACAACATATTGAATTTCTTATAGCTTTGATGCTGTTACCCATGACAACCACTTTGCATGTTCTGAGAATTCTCCAAGATATTTACAGGAAACAACTAAAGGTACAAGTCTGTCTCCAAAGATTTTTAAGAAGCAGCATATGTCAGTGAGGTGTGTCAAGAATGCAAAAGACAATCGGATGGGAGGGGGGTCGTGGGTGGGAGGGCTTGGAAGGGTGAGAGACAGGGAAAGAGGAACAGAGAGGGAACTGGGATTGATATGTAAAATGAGAAAACTTTAAAAAAAAAAGGAAAAAAAAAAAAAAAAAGGAATGCAAAAGACAGAGAGGGAACTAAACTCATATTTCAACCACAATGATTTCATAGATTTTTGCTGTATGACTGTGCACTTGCTATTTTTTATTAAAAATTTTAGTCCCATCAACTCAGTTTGAGAAAAAAATGAAAAAACTGCTCCATACATAAAATATTATTAAAATAAAACTAAAACACAACATTCACATGCCCTTGGCTATTTAGGGATGTTTCCTTGGGGCTGAAATATAATGTATTTGTAACTTCATTTCCAAATGGCCATTAGTGGTTAAGGAGATGTGAACATTTCTTGATTAATAAGTTGATTCATAAATCTTAATGTCTTTATTAGGTTATAAAGCCTTAATCATCTCACTCTTGTTTGGAAATTCAGTAGGTCAGACCATGTTTAATATCTTTTAAAGGTTAATAACATCCTAGTCTTGTATTGGCTAAAAGGATTAAGATAATATATGTAAATCACCAAGCACAGTACTTGGTGCATAACTGATAGGCAATAATTTTTCTCTTACACACTCCACTTTTTTCTTCCTCTGAGGAGACATCTTCATAAAAAATACAGTGAGTATCCATACAGTTTGTTTTAGTCAAAGTGAAGTTGGGGATGGCCAAATGTAAATAGAGTCAGGATAGTAGAGGCCTTGGTAAATGCCTGATATGTAGAGAGCTGTGATGAAGGTTAAGAAATTCAGTGACAATAAAGATGTAGAACCAAATGAGTGACCAAAGGGGACCTCTGAGGTCAGTTAAAAGAACTGCGTCCCAGAGGACCTCAGAGGATGAGAAGGAGATTCTGGAAGCCAGTGCTTGGGAAATAGGAACATTCCCAAATACATCCATGGCCCCACCAATATGTAGACTAAAACCCCACAGCAATTTTGTCAGTATTCACTATGACAGTAGACAGTAGTGAGTGTAAGACATGGGTACCATCATCTAACTAAATAACTGCCATATTAGTTACATTGCAAAGGATCTTTGTAGCAGGTAGAGTCTTGGTTATGC